AGAGACTGACGCTCCGGGCGGCCTGTGCTCATTCGCTGGGCCGTTTTGGACTCAAGCCTCGTGTGGTGATGAGCACTGTGTGTGGTTGTGTGGCAGCCTGGGTCCAGAGCCTTAAGAGTTTCTTGTTGTCTGACCCTGTGGTTCCCCTTGAGGGTCTCTCCAGAGATAATCATAGAGATAGTAGCGAAAATGTTTCTGGCAAACACACACACACACACACACACACACACACATATAATTACATACATACATATACACACACATACACACCCACAAAGGGGTGCTGCCGGGTGAGCCTCATCTGGCGCGTGCATGTGTGTGTGTGTGTGTGTGTGTGTGCACGCATGTGTGTGCCTGAGCATCCTGAAGACGGGCTCAGAGCAGCTCCTTCCTCGTGTCCCTGCCTTGATCTGTTGTGCCAAGATGTGCATGTCTGACCCTCATGACTCAGTAAAGCTGGGGTGGGCACTGGGGAAAGGAACTGTGTGTTGTGTAGGAGGTGATTCTAACAAGAGACTGACGCTCCGGGCGGCCTGTGCTCATTCGCTGGGCCGTTTTGGACTCAAGCCTCGTGTGGTGATGAGCACTGTGTGTGGTTGTGTGGCAGCCTGGGTCCAGAGCCTTAAGAGTTTCTTGTTGTCTGACCCTGTGGTTCCCCTTGAGGGTCTCTCCAGAGATAATCATAGAGATAGTAGCGAAAATGTTTCTGGCAAACACACACACACACACACACACACACACACATATAATTACATACATACATATACACACACATACACACCCACATATATTTTTTTAAAAGATAAAGGCAAGTGCAGCGAATGTTTTATTATAATCCATGGTGAGAAATCGGTTAAAGAGATGGTTACATTGATATGGTGAAATATTTTCCTGTCAAAAAACCTGATATTTAAAACATTCATTCATTCATTCCACATTTATTCAGCACCTACTAGAAACTTGCCACGTACTGAAACTAATGCAGCAGATAAAATATAGACATGCTGTTCCCTAAAAGCAGGGAACAAGTAAATGCATAACTTCTGAATGGGATCAACAGGACACATGGAGTGAGAAAAGGAGAGAATGACACACTATGAAAAATACACATAAAAGACCAGGAGAAAATATGCCAGAAGAGTCATAGATGGATTTACTTCTTTATATGTTTCACTCTTTAATAATTTGTCTCCTTTTATAACTAGGGAAAAATAACTCTTTTAAAAGTCACACTTTAAATTCACACCATACATTTTATGTCATGAGTTATTTTTATGTCTTATGAAGGCAGGAAACTAAAGTGACTCCCTTGGTTTTCTTAGGTGAAAAGAGCACTGAAATATGATAAAAAGGAAAAGAAATGTGTTCAAATTTGCCCTTGTCTAAACCATAAGCTCAGGTCAAGTTTTCCCCATCACACCTGCTGGGAAAGGAAAGCTCACCTTCCGGGCCCGTGAGAAAGCAGCTGCTCGGATCCCAGTGCCCTCTTCCCCGCCAGGTCTTTTGTTTGGGCTGCAGTTTTTCAGTCGGCTGTGCTGCTTCTTAGCAGGCCACTTGGGCCCTCAGAGGCCCTCATAAATAGCTTGAAGCTAGAGAGAAGAAACCAAACTACAAAGCAGGTGTGCGCAGAACACCTTCTCTTTTCACCTGGGCTTGTTTCAGCTGTGGCTGTGATGTGCTTTTATGCATCTTTGAAGACTTGACACTTGTTCTCAGCAAGTATTTTTGGTAAACTTCTGAGCTCATAACTTGCTTCAAGTGTTATCGCAGCACAAAGGTGTTTAGCTCTCCATCGTATGAAAAAATGCTCAACTTCTCCCAGAGGAGAAATGCCAAGTTAACCCATCTGCAGTGACTGCATTGGTGGCCCAGCCACAGCACCAGGCAGGGAGCAGACACATTTCCTTTTCTGCCAGTCTCACTGGCCTGGAGATTGACTTGCAAACTACCAGGTGATCTGCTCATCAGCTTTTATTTAACACTTAGGTGGCAGCTCCTGTAGCTAAGTGTTCCAAGTGCTTTGTTTACTCTCCCACACAACTCTTTGAGGTGGAATTATTATCAGCCCTAATCTCTAGGTGTGGAAATGGAAAAACATAGATTTTGAACTTGCCCAAAGGTCACCCAGCTAAAGGGGGGCAGAGCCAGGATTCAGGCCATTTTGCTCCAGAGTCCTTGCTCAGTCTATGCGTAACCAAGGTTACACCACATGTCCCAGGACTACGGCACTGTTGGTAATTGCAAATGTTTGGAAATAATCTAAATGCCTCTCAGTAGGAGATTGTTTAGGTAAGTCACACTACATTTCTCCAGCATCCTTCCAGCAAGCGAATAACCACCAAGATACTTTGTTAATGGAGAAACAGAATGTAGAAAGAGCTACAAAATGTGTTCATAAAGGGAAGGGGGAAGAATATATATGTTCATTTTTGCTTGAATAAGATAAAACATTTCTGGAAGGATAGAGGAGAAAGAAAGGCCTGACGTCACCTATGGGGAGAGAGACCGTGACCAGGAGCTGGGGGAGAGAGATTTTCACTGCATCCCCTTTCATACACGTAGAGTGTGAGCCCTCCTTGTGTATTTCTTATTCAGAAACATAAAAGCCTTGCATACTGCTGCTTTTTAATATTTCTTCTTTGCCCATGCAACCACTTTGTTTATAGATTTTTTTTTACACTATGTTTTGAAATTTTATATGTGAACAGGTAACGCAGTAAATGATTGTGGCTTAAAACAAAACAAAACAAAAAAGCAGGCAGTCCCCAGGGAAATAGAATAAGAATGGGGTCTCATTTTCCTTCCCAAGCCCCCACCCGCCCTACAGCTCCCTCCCGCACGACCACTGCTAGTTTCCTGGTAATTCTTTCTTCTCCCTCTCCCTCCGTTCTCTGGGAGCAAGCACCCTGATGCCGAGGGAGGAGCGGGCCCCTTTTGTCTGTCCCGCCAAAACTATATCCAAAAATAAGAATCTAATTTCAGTGAGTAGAACCTTTGTGGGTGTTTTTGGAGACATCCTATAGGGCTGAAATAAATTTCCACTCAAATTACAGCCTACAGAGCCCTGGTCTCCATCCCTGAGTCATTATACTCCCACCCTAATCACAGTTCATCACTCAGTAGTTAAAGAGCCCAGATTCCATTGCGGTTTTGAAATATAGATTTAATTTGATCCTTAGAGTTGAGGATGGAGGAAGATTTGTCACCAGGATTGTGTGCTCTGCACCTGCCACTGTGCAAAGCACTCCTTGGGTTGTCGCCATCTGACGTGTAGTCTAGGTGAGGAGGTGGGGTGGGGTGGGGCTGAGTCTCCTGTATCTTAAGGAGCCAGGCCCCCTAGGAGAACATGGTCCAGTCAGGAATGTTTTTTGCTTTTTCCAAGTTGAAAGATTGGCCTACATCCTCTGTTGTTGGCCAGGCCGGAACAGACACAATACAGGTCTGACTTGGGGCAGTGTGTCAGTTTTCTGTTGCTGTAGCACAACACTGTACCTACCGCTGGGTAATTTACAAAAAGTGAAACTTTGCTTAGCTTGTGGTTCTGGAAACTGGGAAGTCAAATCAGCAGGAGCCCTCTATGCTGGGATTTAGAGAGTTTAAGAGACCCAGAATTGGAGCAAAAGACACAGTGGTACTGGCAGAGCTGCCTGTGTTGCAAAACCCAGGTCTCTACAGACAGATGGGCTGCCACCTGGAGTAAAGAGATGGGCGCCGTTAGGCTGAGTGGAGGTAAGAGACGATAAAAACGCAGTGCATACCAGAGAAGCAGAGCCATCCTTTTCCTTGCCTAAAAAGTTCTGATTGCCAAGAAACCCAGTGACAGAAAAGGAAGTAGAAGCCAGGGATTTCTCCAGATGACACAGGCAGCCACCAAAGACATTATCGACCCCAGCTGGTCACAGAGAGGGCTCGTGGACGTGGTTCCCAGTGGGTGAGAGCGAGCTTCATTTTGGCCTAATTCTGTTAGAATTAAACCCAAGGGACTGGGCATCAGTGGGTCCAGGTAGCATGAGCCTTGTGCGGGTCACCCTGGGCCCAGTGTCCTCACCTGTGCAGCAGTGACTTCCTGAACCCATTCTTGTGCTCTAGATGCTATTGTGAGAACCAGGCCTAAACTGGTGGCCTGTGGCCGTGCTGGCCCTGGATGCACGTTACTTGGCTCCTCACGTGTTTCACGGCATCAGGAGATCACGGGCTGTGTTTCCCACCTCGCTTTACACCTGAGCACACCTGGCATGGGCCTCTGTTCCTGCACGGCGGCAGTGAGTGGAGCAGGGTCCGCAGCAAGCTGACGGCCCTTCCACGAGCTGCTGTCTCCCCATGCCTGTTTCCCTCTCCTTTTGCCCTTGGAGCCCCATCTGTGCGTCATCCTACTGCAGTGAGGATACCCAGCAGGGACGTTTGTGTTTGTCTCAGCACTGCTGCCACCAAACTCCCCGCCCCCCTCACCTGGGCTGGCTGTGCAGGAAAATGCCTGAGGTTGGGTCTCTCTGCGCTCTGGGGTTGAGAATCCACCTAGCAGGACCCCTCAGGTATTGCATTTGGAGGCAGTGGACAAAGCTCCTGGCAGCCCTGGCTCCCGGTCCACCCACTGGTTGTCCCGAGAGGGGCAGGTAGTGCTTGACAGCTGCGAGAGAGGCAACCCTGGGGAAGACTGCAGTAAGATAAGGGGGTTGAGGACACTCAGAAGGACAGCAGAGTCCAGCCTCACCTGACCCTGCTCCTAGCAGGGACAGGAAGTCGGCTCAGTAGCACAGAAATAGAGCAGCACTGGCTGGCGAGAGTGAGGTGCTGGGGGAGAGCAGCACAACCCTGGGCTGTAGGTTTGCACCTGGTCAGCAGGCGATCGGGAAGTGAGGTGAGTGGAGCAGAGCCCTGCTGTGGCGAGAGGACCCTGGCAGCACCTGCTCCTTCCTCCGTGTCGACAGGCATGTGCACAGGCTGAGGCGCACACAGGTACACAAAGAGCTCCCAAGGTGACTGGGTTTGGTGCCTTCCAGGGAAGCTGAAAGAATGGACCCTCGTTCTGTACGGCACAGCAGAGCACCCGTACCACACCTTCCGCGCCCATCAGTCCCGCTCTCGGATGCTGGAGCTCTCAGTGCCAGAGCCAGAGCCTCCCAAGGCCGCTGGGTCGTCCGCCCAGGCAGAGGTTCCCGAGGACGAAGAAGATTACACAGGTAACGAGCCTGCCGCAGGAGGAGTCGGCTAGCCTCCTCCAGTGTCGCTTTTCCACTAGAGCTCTCAAAGGTGGGGCCGCTCCTGGTGAAAGGTGGGGGTTAGGGTTGTGTGTCTTCTCTTGCCTGGAAACCCTAATAATGGTGCTCATTTGCACTCACACAGCTCCTCCCACCCAAGGCTCTCCTAATACTTTACAGACCAGTAAGTATGCTTCAGACCAGTAAGTACCCTTCTGACCTTCCCGGGCTGCGACCCCAAGTCCGCTTATGCCCGACCAGAACTGGGGTTCGCCCTGCGTAATTAGCCGCCTCCAAGGAGCCTCCGTTCCTCCAAGGCTCCCATCTCACAGCTCAGCCTCCTCCTGGCTCCCCTCTGCGTCCGCTTCCAGGGCCGGAGTGTGGGAAGGACACAGCTCCAAACCCGGGCCCAGGAAGGCTGGATTCCGTTAGCACAGCCGAGGCAGGAGCAGTTAGTGGCAGAGATGTGCCAGCTGCAGGGCTGGGGTTAGAGACCCGGGCGGTGCCACCCGGGAGCATCTTAACACTCACAGCGTATTGTCAAGGCAACCGAGAGCCAGAGCAGCCCGAAGAGGGCTTCGGACACCTCCACCTGCTGAGCTGGCATAGTTTTTATTTGCACCTGTGGTCAAATGCTCTTTCTTTCTGAGCCATCTCTCAGCGGTGTGTGTGACAACGGGTGTTTCCGGTTGGGCATATTTTTTAGCTAAATATTTTGACTACTCGATACACGATGGATGACATCTAAGAATATGAATGCTTTGGGTTATCTGATATCTTCTGAAAAAAATCATAACAAAATGGAGAATTCCAGCAATACAAATCAAAACATGAATTATGGCCGATTCCATTGTAAATTTCTGTTGCCATTCCTTTAAAATGGAGCATTGAATTATGTATGGACTAATCTGCTCTGTTTCCCCTTGTGATTTATAAACTCTGGCAAGATTCAGTAATTATTAATAAAGAGCTGATTTCTTTTTCCTTAAAAATTTGCTACTGATTCCAGCCTTGTGTGGTGGAACTCCACTGTCATGCTATTCTTCTCTCTAAATCACTCGGTCCATATTAGCACAGCCTGGATGGGCACAGGGCCTCTGTGGGGATGAGAGGGGTTTCTGGCTCTCAGGTGGGGCCAGTAACAGCAGAGCCCGCCCACTCGGAGCCCAGGACAGAGGGACAGAGGCAGTGAGAGGAGACTGTGCCATGGCACAGGAAGGGAAGGAGGGAGGAGGGGGCACAGGCGATTCAGAGTTAGGCAAGTGCAGGATGGGGCTCCCAGGATGTAGGGAGGCAGCCATGGGCGCATGGTGCCCTGGGGGTGATGGGCCCAGGCCAGCAGAGACTGCCTGCACCCTGTGGACTGGAGAATAGTTGGCATGTCAGGAAAGGCTAGGGAAGTCTGATAGAACAGTGGTCCTCGGCCCAGCAATGGGATGGGAGCAGACAGGAGGCAGGATTGGAGGAAATAGGGTTTCTATAAGGAGTGTCGGCCACTGCATTAGTCCATCTTCCGTTTCTATAACAAAATACCTGAAGTTGAGTACTTATAAAGAAAAGAGGTTTATTTAACTCACAGTTTAGGAGACTGGAAGTCCAACATCAGGAGAGCTCATCTGCCCAGCCTCTGGAGAGGGCATCCTTACATCACAGGCTGGCAGAGAAATGGGAAGGAAACCAGCTTTGTACATAAGGGCCAAGTGTGTGGGGGTGGCCTTGCTTCCTAACAGCTTGCTCTTGGGAGAACTAACCCGGTCCCATGAGTTACCTTAACCCCTTCCCAGGGCAGCACTTTAGTGACTGATTGCCTTGCCCTAGGACCTACCTCTTAAAGGTTTTTACCTCCTCAACACTGTCCCCCAGAAGACCAAGCTTCTTTGGGGGACACCCTGAGACATTAAACTAGATCAGGCACCTGGCCAGAGGCAGGCAGAAGAGCTTCCCTCTAGAGGGGGTGATCATGACCTGCACAGACAGTTGGCCCATGTCACTCCCCAGGAATGGGAGCAGAGAGGGCGGTCGGGGTCACTGTCCGGCCCGAAGGCCAGAGCAGTAGTGCTTTCCAGAGTTCCTGAGGCAAAGGAGGGTATGGAATCCTATTTGTTGGGGATAGACAGTGACATCAGCACAGGGTGGGGAGGGCTTGGAGAGCAGGGGGGCTGGGGGCCGGGGGTCCTCCAGGGAAGACTGCAGTGGCCACAGTACTGAGCCTGCTGGGACAGAGCTGTCTGGTGGCTACAGTGCAGGTGGAGGTACCCCAGGGGCCCTCCCCTGGAGTCTGCACCTGGAGTGGCCACATGGGTGACTCCAGGTGGGGTGGGTATAGGGAGCCCACAAGGATGCTGGCAGGGGAAATAAGGCAGGTTCCTATAAGAGAAGACAGAACTGCTGTGGGGATGGAGGGGACCCTGGGCTTTGGGAAAGAAGCCATCATTTAAGCAAAGGAGGAGGACTGGCTGGAAGGATGGCTGGGGACAATGTGGCCGTCCACACGGGACGGAGTTCTGGGACAGCTCTGCAAGTACACAGGCGTTATGTCCACAGCACGACCGTGTGGGGTCATAGGCTCTAGTCAGTGACGCTTGTCACAAAGACAGGGGTCTGGAATCGTTAACTCATTTAGGTTACACAGCGATTGAGAAAGAATCCAGACGTAGGGAACCCCAGCACTCAGAGAGGCTGAGGCAGGAGGATTGGAAGTTCAGCCCCAACATGTACAACTTAGTGAGACACTGTCTCAAAATTTAAAAGGGCTGGAGGTAGAACTAAATGCAAAGATCCTGGATTCAGTCCCCAGTACTGAAGAAGAAGAAAACAGATGAGGCCGAACTTGTAATGAGAGCAGTCTGTTATTATGTTCTCACTAGCACTTTTTCTGCAGCCAGCCACCGACTCTTGGTCCTACTCCAGGTCACAGTGGATGGGAGGTGCCAGTGCTCTTTTCTTGGGTGGTGTGAATGGTAAAAGTACAGCACTGCCTGTTAAACTCACCTGTGCCTCAGCATCTGCTCCACACATGGAACCCCAGTGCCCATTGAGAACTCTCAGCTTGCTTTCCTAGATCCGTTTGTTTGTGTATTTTTTAAATCTTGGATTTGCTCCACAGGGGGGCTGAGGAGGGGTCTTCTGATAACCCTGGGCCAGTGAACCCCAGGGAGTGGGGTCCCCTGTTAGCCAGCCTGGGCTGGTCTTGGAGAAAGGAGCTGTCATGCTAATAGAGGAAAGGAGGGATCGTCATCGTGGGTGGAAGTGCAGATTGCAACCTGCAGATCAGACAGGTGCTCACTCACAGCCAAGTTAGAGCTGTACTCAGACATCCTTAGGAGTGCTTGGGACAGGCGACACCAGCCAGGTGGATTTAATCCGCCGTGTTTCATGGGAGAGTTGGACCTGCATGTTTGGCTTTTAAAACGATTCAGCCAGAGAGCTACACACTGGGAGGTTTGTTTGAAGGTATTTTCTAGGCAGCCTCAGCTCTTGACTGGGCTCTGTCTTTACCTGACCTCTCCCTGGGGCCCAGTGCTGCCAGTGACCTCGATGCCATCAGGGAGTTCTGCTGCCCCTGCTGTGGGGGACCCCGGCCTGGCAGTGGGAACCTGATGGGACTGTGAAGGAAACTCCGCCCTGCAGAAGGGGCCCTGAGGGAGGGGTGCTGGCAGGGGGTGACGTGCATGGGACACCTAGGACATTCTGCGTGCAGAGGGCAAGGGTGTCGCATTCCCCCCTCACACCCACTCTTCTTTCATCCGTGTGGGTTTGAGCCTCTGCTCTGCGCCAGATGCTGCAAGCACTGGGGGAACAGCGGTGAACAGGCTGGACCACATCCTGCCTTTGAAGAGCCTGTGCTTAGAGAGGGAGGAAATCCGCTTGTCACCTCCGTGTCTCCCCCAACCCCACACACATACCCAATTTCATTATGATGGAGGAAGGTGTTGACTTTAGCGAGGAAGACAGACATGGCGCCTTCCTGGGTCCTAGGAAGAAAGTACCGCAGGGGAAGGAGAGAGAAATCCGTAGGTCACTGTATGGGTAGGGCTGAGCCGCCTGATGAGAAGGCAGGGGCCCTGTGGTCAAGTTCTTGTGTTTTGGGCTCAGTGGGTAAGTGAAAACAATGACACGATGGAGTGAGGCCTTCTAAGGCTTCCACTGTAAATGACCCAGGATTAGAACAGATACAAATCCAACCAGGTGAAAATTAACTCCAAAAGAGCAGAGCAATCTGAAGAGAGGAGAGGAGTTGACTCAGGGTGAGCTTTGATGACGGGGTGTGTGTAGAACACAGAAGAGGCCAGCAGTAAGCAGGGGGAATCTCCAACATCCCGGGACGAGAGGAGTTCACAAAAAGGAACAAGGCACACAGCGCCCACACTGAAAACTTGGGAAATTTCAACAAGCGTGAACCTTTGGGAGGGAGGCAGAATAGCCCAGGCCTAACCCTGGGAAGGCTTGCAGCTTCTTGAGCGCAAATGAAGAGGTCTCTGTGTGCCTTAGCAAAGACCCGTTGTGGGCAGCTGAGAATGAGAACTTTTGTCCTTCCCTGTCCCTGAGAAATTCGGGTGGCCAGCAAATTAGCTCCTCTTCGCTTTTAAACTCACTCCCCACACCTCCAGCAACTCAAACTTTGCAGTTTTTTTTCCCCTTCCAACAACTCAGAGGTCTTCATAATGCCCTGCTCAGCCCTCCCTGTGTCCCCTGACAGTTGTCTGAGAGGTTTCCCTGGGGCACCTCCTCACAGGAGGCAGAGTCCCACTGCAGTCTGGCTTCAGCCGTGTCACTTCTGCAGGCCAGGACGGAGAGGACACCTGCAGCCTCACCCCACCCAGCCTGACAGCCATGGGAAGCCGGCTCATCCCGTGCCTGCCCAGGGCAGGACCCAGAGGAGCTGTTTGCCACTGCAGTTCACAGCAACACAGAGACCACAGTTAGAAATTGGGGACCTGAGGGGCCTTGTAGGAAGACATTGGTGGCCCACCGCGGAGGGCACAAGTGAGAAAGGCCCAGGAAGAAAGCTGTGGGGAGGAGCCCCGCCCACCCCTCAGCCAAGCTCCACGCTCTCAGGACAGATCTTCCTGTGATGGCTGCACCTCCTGCTCTGAACCTGTGGAAATCCATCCTGGCAGCCAGGAGGCCACATTCACCCCCCACCCTAATGCCTAATTCTTGCTGCGCTGTCACACTTGGCGACACCCCAAAGCACCCAGTATGCGTTGCTGTGTCCTTCACAGGGGAAATGAGGGCACTACCTAGCTCCAGCATAAGGACTTGATGGAAATGAAGAACCCTAACAGGGCCGCTCCTGACCCTCCCTCCGCAACACCCCTAGGGTCCCATGGTCCCCATCTCTCCCTCACCTTGGTCCCCCCATCATTGGCTGTATTACTTGTCATGCTTTTTATAGATGTGTCCAACCTGTGGCCCACAGACTTGTGCCCTCCTTTTATGTTACAACAAATATTGCAAAAGGAAGTTATATTCCTTATATACGTTGATGATACTACGTAATTTATATGTGGCCCAAGACGATTCCTAAGCCAAGAGGCTGGACGCACTGGGTGGCCCTCTGATCCTGGCGTCCAGACTAGATCCTGCCCTCATAACATAGCCATCCAGTCCCACGGAACCCTGGCACAGGGGCCCAGGGGACCAGACTGATGGAGAAAGCGTCTCTCTGGATGAAAGGAAATGCTTGTTTCTTTAAGGTGTGTGCCATCCGGAGTGTGGGGACAAAGGCTGCGATGGCCCCAGTGCAGACCAATGCTTGAACTGTGTCCACTTCAGCCTGGGGAGCGCCAAGACTGGCAGGTAACGGGCTGGGGCTGCACCTGCACTTCCCAGAGCCCCACGGCATAGCACTGCAGTGCCCCGTTTCAAACTCAATCTGAGGGCCCGGTTGGGACTTAACACACTGCCCCAGTGAAGAAATCACATTGACGTTGACTGCTGCCGACGCGTAAAATTTTTAGTAAGTTTTTGTTCTAATCACACAAGCACTCCATGGCCATTACAGAGAGAGCAGAAGCTGTGGTTCTGTAGTGGTCACGGGAGAAACAGAAGCAGACCACGTTGAGTACACAGGGTTGCCCACGGGGGACTGCGACAGAGGTGACTCCAGGAGCCCGCACTGTCAGCCCCGGACCCAGCTGGCTGCCACAGTTCTTGGACTGGCTGCGGACTCTGGCTGGGTGGGGAGTTTTCCTGGCAGCCCCCTCAAAGCCTGTGGGGTCGCGTGCACCCCGAGTGAGGGCCCTGGCGCTGGCTGCAATGAGAGCCTGCTGTGTACGCTTGCTTCTCTGCTCCTGGTGTCACCACCTTCTCCCACGTCCCTGCCAGCCTTGCGTCACCAGGGCATCGATCCTCTCCTTCAGCACCTGCCCGTGCCGCACACACCCACCTGGCAACCCCACAGGCCGCTGGGGACACCCCTGGAGCTGCCGGCGCATGCGCGGCAGAGGTACAGGCCTGGCCCGGGGTATCCCAGAGTCCCCAGAGAGCGCAGTAAGCACAGCCCACCTCCCCAACCTCTGGGGCGCACTCCTCTCAGCACCCACAGTAGGGTTTTGCCAGAGCTGGAAATTCCAGAAGTCAAAGACCAACTCCACGGTGCCTGGAAAAAGCCAAACAGCCCCAGCGCCTCCCTCGGGCTGCTTCAAAAGGAAAAGGTGTTCTCACCTAGCCCTCGTCAGGAAGCCCTCTGCTGTCCTCAGCATGACGAAGGGTGGTACTCAGGGCTCAGCAGCCCTGGGGCCCTTGTGACCCCCACATTCCGTGATCAGGTGGGGTAGCAGTGCTCTGGGGAGATGCTTGCATGCAGCTGCCCAACCTCAGCCCCGCATCGCAGAGGCCCTCACCCATGTGTTCCCACAGGAAGTGCGTGAGCGAGTGCCCCCTGACCTACTTCGGGGACAAAGCAGCCAGGCGCTGTCGCCGATGCCACAAGGGGTGTGAGACCTGCTCCGGCAGGAGCCCAACTCAGTGCCTGTCTTGCCGTCGCGGGTTCTACCATCACCAGGAGATGAGCACCTGTGTGACCCTCTGTCCTGCTGGGTTTTATGCTGATGAAAGTAAGTGGCGTGTCGGGTGCACAGAAACGTGAGTCAGCTCCCCGTGTGGGCTGGTTCCTCTCTTCCGGGGGACTCTCGCTGGCCCTGTTTCTCCTGTACTCATTTCTGACCGAGGACCTCTCACAGGGGAGAGGGGCAGTGAAATGAAAGTGCTCACAGCTGGGTGTGCTGGCACATGCCTATAACCCCGGCACTGGGGAGGCTGAGACAGGTGGATCGCCATGAGTTCTAGGCCAGCCTGAACTACGTAAGTGAGACCCCTGTCTCACAAAGGAAGTGGGGTGGGGGAGAAAAAGGAAAAGAAAGAGCCCAGTCCTGTTAGCAGCAGCATCTCACCCGCACACCTGGCCAGACACCATTCAGAATGATGCTGACGTGAATTCTGCAGGCTGTGGAATTCACGCCTCTGCCACTACTGAGGAGAGGCAGGGAAGTGGCTTGGGTTACCCTGCCCGGCCTGAGTTCAAACCAAAAGAGGATGCATTTTATCCTGTCGTTTCTCCTCCAGGAAATGCTGTGCCAGGGGTCCTCTGGGACAGGACAGGTGCCCGGGGTGGGGGAAGGGAGAGGATGCGGCACCAGTTTTTGGAATTGGTGTTGGAAATGGGGGTAAGCCCCTCCTCGGAAGAGCTGCAGAGGTGAAATTGGGATTTAGAGGCAGGCAGAAGGTTTACCATCCTCTGGAAATGAAGGAGCCTGTTGACCATAGGAATTGGGTTCAAGTGGGATGGGTTGGTCTCGTGGGCACTTTATAGGCAGTGACTTGAAGAGGTGGCAGTCATCTCCTGGCCTTGAAGCCGAGAAAGGGTAAATGGTCCACAACTAGCGATGAGACTCAAACCCAGGTGAGGTGAGACTCGAACCCAGAGCAGCAAAGCCGGGTCGTCCCCCATCCTAGGAAAATGGGTGTGACAGACAGGGGACCTGTTTCAGCAATTCGCTTTGCCCAAGAAGAGACGGGAGAGTGAAGTGAGTGGAGGATAGCTCTCAAACTAGAGCAGCCACTGTGTTGACCTTGAAGATTTTGCAGGCAGTAGGCTTCCCATAGTGCTCCTGTCGGGGCCCTGCTGGGCTGAAGGGTCACTGACCCAGCTGGTGATGCCATCGCCATTTCTCCTGGGAAGAAAGCTGGGCAGTCATTACGACATGGAAAGTGAGCAACAGCCAGACTGCAGAGAGGAGTCAGAGTGCAGCAAGATGCCGTGGCAGCCTTTGCAAACTCCTGGGCCAGGCCTGCGTTCAGGCTTCTTCATTCCCACTCCCTTCCCAGACGAGAGTGAGCCACCTTGGTCCTCACCAAGCACCTGCTGCATGCACATGATGCTGCCTGTGGTCCTCCGGAGGCCGCACCTAAGATGCCACAAGCAGCCCTCGGCTCCCGGGCCCACACTTAGTGGTGGCGCACGGTGGTACTGGGTGAGGTGCCAACGTGACTGCCTTAGATAACAACTTCTGTAAATACAGGGGAAGCCAAGGGACCAGACTTGCCACAGGGCGGCCAGTGGCTTGTCAGCACTTCCTGCCTCACCTTCATTGCTTCCGAGTCTCCAGCAAAGACCCCACTGAGCTCTCTGGGTAGGGGTTCAGCAGCATCCCAGCCACCAGCAAGTTTATAAGGATTTGCCCCTGATCAGAATGTACTCAGCAAGCCAGGAAGGGACTTCAGGCCCTGTTGCATAAGCAGAGCTAGAACATTTCTGCTAGGGAAAAGGATCACTTTACAGCCTTATGGGACTTTGATTTACTCCAGAAAAAGAGTTGTTGGAGCTGTGACCCAGCACCTGAACATGGTTTGGATGTGGCCTCTGGCTGTTTTATTACCATGTCTCTGTGTCAGAGTCGGACACCAGGAAGAGCTATCCTGCTGAGCTACCTGGGATTTGATTCTTACCGTGCTGCCTCTTCCTCCTCCCATCTTTCTATTTCCTCCAGGTCAGAAACACTGCCTTAAATGCCACCCAAGCTGCAAAAAGTGCATTGATGAACCCGAGAAATGTACCATTTGTAAGGAAGGATTCAGGTAAACCTGCCCCCCATTCCTGAAATCTGAAGAGTGTGCAAGTGTTGTTGCGGTTGTTGTTTTGTTTGTTTTTCAGTAAAGACGCAAAGGGGCTCTTTTGGAGTAAGGAACAGAGGAAGAAACCTTGCTGAGCCTCTGCTCTTATTCAGGTGTTCTCACCAGTGCCCGTGTCACCTCTGCAGCAGCTGAGGGCGTCCATACAAACAGGGCGCTCCGCCATTTACCCGGGGGACACTAGGTGGCTGCTTCCTTAGTGAAGCTGATTTCAGCCTGCCCCATTCCTCCAAATCCAAGTCCTGGGGAAAAGAGAGTGCCCCTTACCCAAGTACCTGGGAGTCTTCAGCACGACCCCTCAAAGGGACACCTGCTGTCTTTTAAACCTGTTGGTTGGACAAAGCATGATTAGAAGTGAACAGTGAACTGTCCCCCACACACAAAAGAGCTGGAGGGTGAAGGAGACATCTGGGCCCCGTTCCCTACTGGCCGGGCAGCCTGAGAGTGACTGTCGCCTCTCTCTATGGACCCTCATCCCTGGGATAACTGAGGTGTCAAGCGGGGAAAGTTCCGTGGAACCTAGGAATCTTTTCCCAGCAGAGGAGTGCTGGCAAGTGCCAGAGAAGCTGTTCTGGTTCTTGTGGGGAACCAGAATCAGATCCTGGGCTCAGGAAAGGAGTCCTAGGGAGAAAGTGTGTCTTGGGCCATGTCCACACTGGAGCTACTCTAGGATCAGCGGTTCCAGCTGTGATGAGTTTTCTGAGAAGCATGCAGAGTCGGAAGACATCGCCAGCTATGATCCACAGCAAGCTTCCTTTTATTTCCTAATATCCTCATGAGCTGTGACTTCAAATCATTGCTGTCACCTTAAAGCAGTGAGAGCGGTCGAGCTTCTGCATCCCCGCCATCCATCTCTTTAGGGGCTAAACGCAGGCAGGGTTCGCAGGGGAGCATCCGTTATTAAATTTATGACAGAACAGCTCTGTGTGACGGCCTGGCACCATAATGAGGATGAGCCCCGGGTGCGTATCCACCGTTGGCGCAGAGGGCTGGCGAGCCTGCAGAAACTGCCTGCTAAATGCAGGTCTAGAAGGTCGGGAATGCCAGGATGTTTCTCCCACTCTTGCAGTTTCTCTTACTCTCGCATACTCTGCACAGCACACCTCCCCTCTGGTCACCCAAGCACGTGTGTTTCTCCCACGTGCACAGTGCAGCTCTCCCCTGGACATCAGTGCAGGGCCTCTAGCCGAGCTCAGTCCCTTCTCTGTCTAAGTGCGGATGATGTCAGATCCCACAGGCTGAAGGTTTTTCCCCAAAGTGCCCCTGCTTCAGATGCCAGGCACAGACCCCAGGCTGTGACCTGTATTTCTGACCAATAGGAGCTCCCACCGCCTTCTGGAATTCAATGGATTGCTTTGCTTCCTCGAAGAACTCGGGGAATGGCATTACTGACCTTTCTACATTTATCATAAAGGGTGTTTCAAAGGGAGAGGGTGACCAGCAGGTGGAATACATAGGACGAAGCCTGCAAGTGTCCGGAGGGTAAGAGCGTCGTCCGTCCCTGTGGAATTGGAGCGCGTTGCCCTGCCAACAGATGGACATGTTCTTGGAGGTTCTGTGAATTCTGTCGTTTGGGGTTTTGATGGAGGCTTCACCAAGGGGGTCTGAGTTACATCACTGGCCATTGGTGTTTAACCCTTAGCCCTTCTCCCCTGCTCTGAGGTCAGGGGCGGAGAGCTAAAATTCCATCCCTCTGATTCACACGGCAACTAGCTCCCTCCTCGGGCTGTCAGGAGTCCTCAGCCACCAGTCATCTTGTTAGTGTGGGAAAAGACACATCACTGTATTGATTTCCAAGGTTTTAGGAACTATGTACAAGATGAAAAGCCAAATACATATTTCTAATTATAAATCACACTATCACAGAGGGTTCCAAGATCTGGCAGGTGTGCCCCAGAGCACTTGTTCGATATGTTCAGTGGCGCACCCATTTAAAATGTGTGCGCCAGATACAGCATAATCTCAGATACTAAGGAAATCGTGGTAGCTGACATTTATTTACTCGGCCGGTGCCAGACACCAGTTTCGTGTATTTGCTCAGTGAGTCCCCCAAGCACCATTAAGCTGTAGGAGCATGTTAGCGGGAGGAAACAGAGGTGCAGAGAGGTCTTCCGGCTTGCCTGGGGTTGCACGGTGGGAAGTGGTAGAGCCAGACTGGCCTGGGTGGTCCAGGTTGGGCTGTGTCCCTGTGAGGCCTGGCTGGAGCCAGGGGCGCAGGGCCTTAGGGGGTAGAAGAGGAAGGTAGAAGCCACATCAAGCCGGCCTGCAGGTCCCAGGAGGAGATCTTATTTCAGGTTCATGGCAGAGCTCAGAAGCCTTCCAACAAGGGCGAAGCAGACGCAGACCTAGGGCCGAGGGTCTGGCTTATGGCTGACACTTCCTTTGCACACCTCACACATGGCAAATGCTGACACTTCTAAGGGAACTTGCCTGCGAAGGCTGCACCAGCGTGGCTCCGGTGGAACTCCCACATCCTTCCCTGCGTGCTGTGTTGGGTTGGGACACAGCAGTGAGGAGAAGCCAGCACAGAGCAGGAGAGAGCATGAGGCCCGGCCTCCTGTACCAGGACAAAGCCCGGGGCCTCCAGCTAGCTCTGGGACAGCATTGCCAGCTTCCATTACCTGGGATTCTTCAATGACACAAAGCACTGTGCTTTGGCAAATTTCATTTCCTCCCAGAAAGGTGTTGGAAGGCAAATCATAATTTAATTAGACTTTTGGAACAGATGTGGGAACCAGCTTCTCTTTCTTCTCAACAGCCTTGCACGGAGCAGCTGCATTCCAGACTGTGAACCGGGCACCTACTTTGATTCTGAGCTGATCCGATGTGCGGAATGCCATTCCACCTGCCAAACCTGCGTGGGTGAGTTCACAGCCTGCAAAGGCCTTTGTGTCCTTGGAGAGTTACAACCCGGGTTACCAAGGCAGATGGACTGGCTATCTTGATACTAAGAAAGCTTCTCATGGCCTTCTATGTTTATTACCTCATTAAAACACAAAGGCCAAGGACTGGAGATATAGCCCAGCGATAGAGTGTCTGCCTAGCGTGCACAGAGCTCTGGGTGTTGTCCCCATTGAGGCGGAAAAAGGGAGGGAAGGGGAGGGAGAGAGAGGAAGGGGAGAGAAGAAACACTATAAAAACACAAAGAGGGCCTGACATTTAGCTCAGTGTCGCCATGCCTGCTTCGTGAGTGCAAGGTCCTGACTTCAACCCCCAGAACCAAAAAATAAAATATAAAAAACATGAAGGCCCTCCCAGGGCTGAGAACAGGGAATGAGGAGTTAGTTTTTAATGAGTCCTGACTTTCAGTTTGGGAAGATGAAAAATGTTCTAGAGATAGATGGTAGCGATGGTTGCACAGCACTGTAAGTGTACTTAATGTCACTAAGCCAAATATTTTAAAATGACTAAAGTGGCCAGGTATGGTGATGCATGCCTGTAATCTTAGCCTTGTGGGAGGCTGAAACAGGAGGAAGGCAAATTGAGCCTAGCTCGAACAACTTAGTGAGACCCTGCCTCCAAAAAAAAAGAAAGAAAAAGAGAAGAGAAGAGGAAAAAGGTCTGGGAGGAAGCCCCATGCAAAAGTCCTGGGTTCAATCCCCAGTACTGTTTTTTAAAAATGGCTAAAATGGTAAACTTTGTGTCATATACATTATACCACAATTTTTAAGTTGAAAACAAAAGAAACCCCAAAATTGTAAAGGCCCTCTTTGAGCAAGCAGACTGGGTTTCCCAGCATTGGAACCCAGCCAGTCAGGGGATGCTTTCCCTGGAGGGATAAAGGATACTGGCTCCGCTCCTGGGTCATCTTGCCTGAGCTCTCGCCACAGCATTGCACTGAAAGGCAACACCGTGAAGCTTCAGGGGCCTTCAGCATGGGCAGGGATGGAGCTGGGTGGGGATGGTGAAGTTTTGAAAGAGAGCCTTAGTTCTTTATGCCTCTCTTATCTTGAACATTTTATCCAAAGAGGAAAAGCCTGCTATAAACAATTTTACATGTATTATAATTCCCCACAAAGATTATAGCACAGATGTCTCCAGGCACAGCTTTTATGCAGAGTGTATCGAGATTTCTTTCATTTTATTTGGTTTCATTTTGCAGTTATCTGCACACGTTGATTGAAACGCACGTTGAGTTTGTGGCCTCAGGTACATTTCGGATGACACTTCCTCCTTGGTCCTCCTTTCTGCCCTGGCACTTGGGTACATTCTGAGGGAGTCACCTTAGACTGTTTCTGCTGCACTAACAATTTAAAGGCTAGGTCTCTGCTGAATCACAGGTGCCACGATGCCATGTGATGGAAACTCCACAGGCTGGACACAGCCCTCCACAGTGTGGCTCTGGGGGCCCCCGCGTAGCCATCAGCTGTGCTGCCCAGGGGTGAAGGTGCCACGGAGCCGAGGGTGCGCAGCACCCCCGGGTGTGGACTGCGGCTGCACCCAGGCCGCCTGAGGAGGCCAGCCTTCCTCCATTCCCTCCTGGGACAACCCTGCAGTCACTGGGCTCAGCGTTTGGAAAAGCTGCCACTCCGGGCGGCCTCGCAGCTTTCCCTAGCACTTTTCCCAGTTGTCTTTTCCTCTGCGGTTTTTATTCTTTCTTTTAACCCAGGTTGTCTAAGAAGCATCACAGTTTCCACTTATTCGAATGTCACAATCACTTGAATCCGTAACATCCGGGCATGTGGTTATACAACTGTTTGACTTTAGTAACTCATTTCACTTCTTTTTCCAAGTCCCCAGACTGACTGCCTGACGACAAACAGCTTCATTGCGTCCCTTGTAAATTTTCTCACCTCGATCTGGGTCTGCTGCATCCTTTCCGTCACGTCACTCCACAGGGTGCGGGTCTGCAGCTCTCGGGGAGGTGTGTTCTCTGGGCCTCTGTACCCTCAGCCTGGCTTCTTTAGGCCTTGGCGAACACAAGCAGACTTCTGTTCCACTCCGAGTCACCTGGAAACTTCTTGTTCCACATCAGGCCTGGGTCCTGCTAGAAGAATCGGTTTTCAGCTGCCCCTTGAACACCTAGGCTTGCCTGGCCTCCACCTTCGGTTTCCACTCTCAGGGTTTCCACCACTGCCCACTACCCACCCCGGAGCCTAGGCTTGGCCATGGGTAGGGTCAGGGTCGGGCGTGAGTGGCAGGTGGCATCTGGGCACACCGCACCGTAGCACATGCAGTGGGTGACTTCATGGGAAGGAGCCTCTGTCCCTGTCCAGGGTGGGTGCTCAGAGCTTCCTGGCATGGAAGTTGTGACCCATGTAGGTCACCCATCCACCACTGGGTGATACAGTGGGCTCAAGCCGGCTGCACTTACCCATCCAGGACATGGGCATTGCTCAGCAGCTGGCAGCAGTGGCAGCAGGTTCAGGAGCAGTGCCCTGCGGGAACAATGTCCCAGGTGGCAGTGAGGGTCAGCCCTGGCACATGGGCATCCTGTGCCTGTGAGAGCACAGCACGAAATAGATCCAGAGAGAGATTTTAGAAGCAAGGAAAATGTTTTCTGTCTTAGGGCGTGTGACAGCATGTTTTTCTTGCTTTTTTTCCCTTTGTTCTGGGCCCTGTGGATGACGCTGTGTGATGGGCTCCTGGCATCTTAACAGTTCTGCTCTTACTGCTGTGTCCGTGGGTGCTTCGAAAGTGCTGAAAGCCGACAAAGCTTTGTGACTCAATGGAGTCCTGGAGACAATTTGACTGAATCATAAAATTCGTGATTTTAGTAGTTCTGAAAATAGTTTGCATAGAAAATGTGTATTTAATCAGCATTTGTATTGTAGTAGAACGCACAACATAAAATTTACCATATCAACCATCTTTAACGTGTTTTAATTGACACAATATTTGTACTTACTTTGGGGGTACAATGTTATACTGAAAGACATGGATTCAGTATGGGATGTGCAGGTCAGGGAAATGAGTCTTTCCATCTCAAATACTATCATTTTGATGATAATATTTCTCTTCTAGTTATTAGTTGTAGACTCTAGTCGCCCTGTTGAGCCGTGGGACAGTAGAACTATTCCCCCCTCTAACTACGTTTTGGTGCCATGTCCACCCCCTTGCTGCCCCACTGTGGCCATTTGTAGATGGATAGTTCCAAGCACATTCATTTTGTTAAGCAGCTGTCTCCACCATGCATCTCCAGAGCTTTTTTATCATCTTCTCCAATTGAATGTATAATCTCCCTTTTTTCATTGCTGGGGGCGGTCAGCCTTGGACCTCACATAGGCTAAGCAAGCACCCTGCCACTCAGCTGTGCCCCAGCCTATAACCAACTTCTTACAAGTTATAATTATCACGTATTAATTGTACCCGTTAATGGGCTTCAACATGGCCTTTCCATACATGCATATTTCTCACTTCTCCATAATCGGGGAGTCAGCCACACCCAGGGTGGGAGGTGGGGGTGCTCTCCACTGAGACTGGCTGCCACCTCCACTGCCCTAGCTAGGAAGTAGGAGCAGTGGTGGCCACCCCCTTGGAGTCAGTGAGCATGTGGGGCCCGCCAGCTGTGTAGGTGGCCTGGGTTCTCAGGCGCTAGAGCAGGCCTGGGTGAGGCCGTCAGTCCTGACCCTTGCTTCTTTCCTGAACCTCTCAGGGCCCAGCAGAGAAGAATGTATCCACTGTGCGAAGAGCTTCTACTTCCAAGACTGGAAGTGTGTACCCGCCTGCAGCGAGGGCTACTACCCTGAGGAGACGCCTGGCTTTCCCCACAAAGTGTGTCGAAGGTACAGTCTTCCCGACTCGGACCTGAGTTCTGGGAGGTTGTGGTCTGCCATGTCTGGTGGTGGAGCAGCCAGAGAACCCACACTTAGGGCTTTCGAACAATTCTCAATTAGCTGTGTTAGAGAAGAGTAGAAGACCCCGAGCATCTCCTTACCGCCAAGCCACTTTCAGTGCAGTCGGCACACATGCATTTCCGCCTCCCTCCTTTCTGTCCCTCCCGTGTGTGTATGCGGTGGCTCTGGACCACATTCGCTGTGTCTCTGGGCCGTGCAGCATTTCCTGTTCCTGTTGGACAAGGACTGTTAAACGAGAAACCCTATGCTGTGGTCCCCGCTGTCTTGCTGACAGTTGCCCCATGTCAAGACATTGTGTGTTCAGGGTGAGAGCAACCGTGAGCTTGAAGGCGACCGTGGGGGTGTGACGGCAGGGTGGGCTGTGAGGGACAGGGGAGAGACCTTTCTGAAAGACACTTGGAACCCAGGAGGGGTGGGGAGGCCTTGCTTAGCTTCCTGCTCCCAGTAGGGAACCTCGCAGACCAGGGAGTCTGCACCCAGGCGGAGCTGAGAGCTGCTCTGCGCCGTGAGATTCCCTTAGAAACAAATGACTGCACAGTGAGTTGAGTAGACACCAGGGCCTTGTGCACGGGGGCTGATTGGAAAGGAGATTGACCACTGCCCCCCAGCCCAGCTGAGTCCTGCGCAAGACCCCAGGCACAATGAAGGAAACCTTTCATTTCCCTGCCTGCTGGTTTCCAGATAAACTAAGGATGGCAGCCCAGGGAGAACTTGGAACTAAACGTTGATGATGGCTTTCATGTGTCAAATGCCCGGGATTCCAAGGGATGTTGCCTGAGCAGTGCCCACAGGCCTTGGTGTCCCCGGCCCTCAGGAAATAGGGAGTGGGCAGCCTCCACAAACTCTTCTTGGGTGTGGAGGGGTCAGGAGAGTCCTGACGGGAGTGGCCCTGACAGAGGTGTAGAAGAGGGTGGCTGTGGACACAGCTGTCGTTCCAGCATTTAGCAGGACAAAGTTGCAGGGTGACATAGGTACCACAGAACCAAAGGCATCTAGAAAGCCTTCTGGCCAAGAGACCAGCTGCCAGCACAGTAACCCTGACCTGGGAAGCAGAAGCCACGAGCACTGGGGGTGGTCACCCCCCTTCTAGGGCAGCATGATGCTGGATTCTCCTGGGCTTCTAGATGAGAGCCTAGGCTGGCCGCCACTGTGCACTGAGCCTGGTGGTCCCACACAGAGAACCCAGATGAGCCCACTGGGGCTTCAGCCTACAGAACTGGGAGCTGCTGAGCTGTAAATGATTCTATTGGATGCAGAAATAGAAAACCGAGATACCTGCCATCCCACCAAGTTCGGTGAGGTTGTACCTGAAGGAGAGAGGGAGCCATGGTCTATTTCTTCTCCATGTAGCCCACTCCATACTGCAGTCATTCATAGCTGAGACAACCCTCAGCCGAGGCCTGGGAGCACTGGCCCTGGGGGCTCCCGGACAGCTGACACTGGGTGATGGGCTGGGCTCGGGCCAGGAACACCTCAGGGAAACATTGAGCCCTGTGCATGGCCCTCGGGGAGGTGCAGGGACTCGTATTGGGAGACAGCATGACAGGAGCCAGACCCCAGCAGCAGCTCCCAGAAGCCCACCAGGAGTAGCAACCTGAATGGCGAACCCCCAAACCCTGAGCTCTGACCTCAGGGAAACTGGGAATAAAAACCAATCTCTTCCTGTCTGAGGGGTGCGGCAGTGGAGCACCCCGGAGGCTGTGTCCTTCTCCATGGTGGGGCTGAGGTGATTCTCTACAGAGCCATCGATGAGCAAGGGAGAGACCAGGCCCTGAATCAGACCTCCCAGAGGGGCGGCCAGCCATGTTCCGAGCATGGACCCCACTGGGCAGCCTCAGGCACCGCAAGCCCCTGCACAAGCCCCCTGAGTTCCACTGCAGGGCCTGTGTCCCGCTAGCTGGCAGCCGTGGGGGAGTCAGGCAGGGTGTGGGAGCACGGTGGGAGCCCGGTCACTGCAGCTGGCCAAAGTGGCCAAACATTGTGGCCAGCACACAATGTTTCAGGAAAGGGCCAGGAGGGCAGCAGCTCAGGCCTCTGGGGCCTCCTGCCTCCGTCCCAGCCACTGCAGCACCGAGCAGCCATAGACCGGAGTGAATGAACATTGATTCCTGTGAAACCCCTGGGTGTGGCCCTCCGCTGTGGTGCAGGGACTGTCCCGAGTCATGGTGCTCTGCATTAGGAGCCCTGGGTCCCAACTGGGCCGGGACTGTCCGGGAGGGCCAGGAACTGTAAGGGCATCTTCCCTCCCAGGGGTAGGGGGTGTGGCAGCCGAGGACACCCCAATCCTCAGGCCAACTCCACGATCAGGATTGTCAGCTCCCTGGGTGGAGTTTGGCCCTGACCCCAGGACTGCAGCCACTGCAGCCAGGCAGCTTCCGGAGGCTCTGGGAGCCACGTGGGGTGGGGGAGGCTGGGAACGGGTGTCCAGGGGAGGCACAAGGACCCTGGGGACCTGCCCTGCGCTGTGCTCCTGTGCGCACTCCTGCTGGCTTCGCCCTCCGGGGCAATGATGCAGTCAGACAGGAGCAAGGACACCCCAGTACAGCTCCTACCAAGAGTTGAGGGTCCAGAGGGCTTTGCAAAGGGAACCCAGAGTGCTCAGGCTTCTGCCCCAGACCTAATGGGAGCCTGGCTCTTCCCACAGGTGTGATGACAGCTGCCTGAGCTGTGAGGGCTCCAGCCGGAACTGTAGCAGATGCAAGGCGGGCTTCACGCAGCTGGGAACCTCGTGCATCAGCAACCACACGTGCAGCAACGGTGAGCCCCAGAGTGGCCCTTGGGGCGGCTGGCGGAGCACAGCCCACTGGCCTCTGGTCTCAAGAGAAAACAGGCATGGCAGCCCCTGAAGAGGGTGCTCACCCTGCTTTGATTGACCATCTAGGGCTCCTGAGAGCCTCTCACATTCTCTGGAGAGACACCCTGGCCCCCAGCCCAGCTGCTGCTTGTCAGTTTGTTGAATGACTCTTAAAAATGGTTTTGTTCTTGTACCATTCCCACCCTCAGGCCCCAGGCCCCAGGCCCCAGTAGCAGCTTCCCTGTAGGAGAGGTCTGACCTCGGGGGTCAAAGCCAGGAGGCTGGGGGCCGTCTCAGTCTCAGAAATAAGAACTAAGAAGGAGAGTTGAGGCCCACTCTTAGCAGCAGGGGTCTGAGCTCACATGAGGAGCCCCATATCTGTTTGTGGGAGAGCCTGGTTCTCCAGGGCACAGGCTGGGAAGACAAGCTCAGAAGGGGACAAAACACAAAAAGGGAGTTCTGGGCAAGGGGAAGGGTGGGCAGAAGACTCTGTCCTGGAGGCCTGGTGCGGGGCTGTTAGTAGGTGGGCTGTAGCAGGACCCTGTGGCTCAGCAGGTGGCAGGGAGGAGCCGTATAGGGCCAGAAGCCGATGGCCCTGTGGTGTGGGAGTCCTGGCATGCGCTGGCCCTGCCCTGCCTGAGACAAACCACAAGGTGGCCTCCTTGCCTTGCTGTGGATTACTTCGTTGGTTTGCAGGATCTTGTCCCTTCAAAAGCCAGGAGGCTTCCTGTTTGGGAAGTCACCTGCTTAGACTCTATACCCAGCCCAGGAAAGTGGGGATGCCACAAGAGGGCCAAGGTCCCGCTAATAACAGTGCTTCCCACCGAGAAGGCAGTGGACCTGTTGCTGTTCCCCTCACCGGCAGCTCTTCCACCACTGAGACCTGTCTGTCTGCCTGGCTCTCACCACTTGTCTCGTCCCCACCACTCCCTGTTTGGGTGTCCCCTGGACCATGGCAGCAGCCTGCATTCCTGCCTCACTCTAGCCCTGCCTTCCTGTGTCCCCAGGAGTCCTTCTCCTAGGCCTCTGGCCAGCACAGGTGTCTGAAAGACAGGTCCACGTGTGCACCAAGGGCCCCACCTGGAGCTCCCCCTGCCCCCATGTGAATCCCCCTTGTCACTTAGACTCAGCAGGAGCCCCTGTGTACCAGGTGCCACCTCTCCAGGGAAGCGCATCGCACGAAGGGGACCCTGTGTGTCCTCTGCCTGGCGTACAATCAGTGCCCAGCGAATGTGGCACAGTTCAGTCTTAACGACTTCCGAAGTCTGACATTTCGCATCCTTCTCCCAGCTGATGAGACCTTCTGCGAGATGGTGAAGTCCAACCGGCTCTGCGAACGGAAGCTCTTCATCCAATTCTGCTGCCGCACATGTCTCCTGGCTGGGTAGAGGCACCGGCTGCCCTCAAGGACGGAGCCCCTCCTGTCCGTCCATCTGTCCATCCACCTCCCTCCAGGCTTTGGTCGGAGCCTGTTCCAGGGCGGTGCCTTGCATCTGACAGCTTTATCTCCCCAGGACCCAGGTCCTCCCTCAGCACTCCGGGCACCCAAGCCGGTGGGTGGAGGTCCTTAAGGACGCGCCCTAAAAATAGAAATGACACCCTCTCGAGCTCTGCTCGCTGGCTACTGTCTTCTGGCAGACTCAAAACCGTGACAACATGAATTCTGAGAATCCACAGCTCCAGCTTCAGATCCTAAGTTTACTGAATCTTCAAGACCAAAGCAGAAAGGAAAGATGCTTGGCATCTCTCTTCGCCCTCCTCCGTGCTGTTGTGCAAGTCATCAGGTGGGCAGGACATGGGGCGTCCTCATCGTGACCAAGGGCCCAGCTGCCTACCTGCGCATCCCTGCTGCCGGCCGCTGAGCAGCCCGGGAGACCCATCGGTCAGACTATAAATAAAACAGGTTCCGGGGCATCAAACCCATGACCACTGGGGACAGAATCTGTTTCTATGCAGTCAGCTTCTTTGGGAACTGCAGAAGCATCTTGGAAAGTCCACTGCCAACCCAGATGGGAGGTTCTTCCTCTCTGCAGCCTTCTCCTGGCAGTGAGCCAAGCTGTCCTCCTGTGTTCAGTTCTGAAGGTGTCTCCTGGGCCCGAATGACCACCTCTACCTGGAGCGGAACCTTCTGAGGAGGGTTTTGGGACCACACAAAGACACCCCGATCACCGAGCAGTTCCTCTTAACAAAATGTCAACCCAGCCCTCAAGTCTTGATCATCCGTCCCTTCCCATTTTACAGAAAGGCTTTTAAAACACATGTGGCCTCTGCCCTTCGGGAGACGTGCTCTCGTGGCGGATCTCCTGTGTCTGCGTACAGCACACGCCTACCTGACACAGCTGGACTTACTTCTGCCAAACCTGTGTAGGCATTTTATAAGCTACATGTTCTAATTTTTACCGAGGTTAGTTATTTTGACAAATATTTCATATATTTTCATTGAGATGCACAGGTCTGCTTGATCAATTCCCGTGAATATGGGAGTAACATTTGCCTTAAATTTTTTCAACCTCGTCTCTCTCCATGTTGTCCTGCTCCCCTCTCTGACTGTAATGCGTTTGCCTCGTCACTTGTGAGCTGGTGTGAGCCCAGCTGTTGTCTATTGAATCCACAACTCTGACAAAGAAATCAGCAAAGCGAAACAATGTTAACCCTAAATTAATAAAAGAGTTAACATCCCACAGCAGAGGAGCCTGTATTTCTTTTCAAGGCACAAAACATTAAACCTGAGTGCTGACCAATGGATTGAAAGAACATCGCTTTGTGGTTTCTAGTTCTGTTGTGGGTTTTTTGTTTTGTTTTGCTTTGCTTTGCTTTGTTTACAGTATTGATGATTCAACCCAGAGCCTCTGCTCTGAGCCTCATCCTTAGCCCTTTTATTCTAATTTTTATTCTTTTGAGACAGGGTCGCACTAAGCTGCCCAAGCTAGGCTGGAACTTGTGATCCTCCTGCCTCGGCCTTCTAAAGTGCTGGGGACAGCACAGTGTGCCACTGCGCCCACCTGAGGATCTGTCATTATGTGAAAGGTCTTCTCTAAGCTTTAATGAATGTTACCATAGGGAGTAATAGGGAAAACCCAAGGTTCCAACGCTAGGATGTCCTTTGGCAAAGAGATCCTGTTTGGGCCACCAAAGCCCAGTTGGGTGGAGGGGTAGAGTCCCCAGATTTAGGGTCCTCTTCCTCCCATCCATCAGGGTGGGGGGCCCTCCATATCCCAGATCAGTGGTGGCGAACCTATGGCACTTGTGCCATGGCTAGCTATTTGGTATCACTGCAAGCTCTAAAAGGTTCGCCATCACTGTGTGAGCCTCATCCCTACAGCATCAAAGCATTAATTAGGCCGCAGCTCATCTTTGGCACAGGGACTGAACTCCCTGCACCCGTGGGTTATGTGCTTTGTGGGTTTTCTACTATGGCTTGACTGTGAGGTCAGAAGCCAGTGGAATCCTTTAGCTGCAGATAAAGGAAATGTGCCAATTAATACTGACTTAGGAAGAAACAAAAGTGAGTAAGGACATTGTCTTAGGAATCCAAGGTTGATTCACAATTTGGGGGCAGGCTGTGGAGGGCCCTGGAACCCTGGGGCCATCATTAAATTTGGACATGGTTTGCACAGCAGCTGTGCCCTCTCTCTTTAAAAGCTGTTTCTACCATTGATGAGACAGATGACCGCCATCTCTCCCAGAATCCAGCCCCTACAGCAGAACTTCTGGGTGTGTTTCTTGGCTCTGCTGTCCCCAGGATGGGACTCTGGGAGCAGGCCTTGCATTGGTGCTCACCAGTGCACCTGTGGTGGCCACAGGGATAGGCACGCACAGCAGAAGGTGGCTTTGGGGAGCTCTGCCAGAGGAAGGGAGAGATGTGCAACAGTCCTGAAGGGGCTCGCCATACAATGGCATGGCCCACCACAGGCGCGAACTGACGCACTTGGCAGCGGAAGACAACAGAGGAGTGTTTGCCAGACTGTCACCGGGACTACAGAGATATCCACAAGGAGCGCACCTCCCCTGTGAGCCTGGCTTCCAATGAAAACCAGCAACTTGCTGGTGCAGGGCACCATTTAGCCCCTAGAACCCAGACATGAATAAATACCAGTTCTTTGTCCCTTAACAGCTTACAGCTGAATCGGGAAAAAAAAAAAAAAAAAAAAAAAAAAAGAGAAAAAAAAAAAAAAAAAAAAAAAAGCTTTCTAAATCTCAAAGAACACCAGTTAAAAGATACCAAGCAGGCAGCCTTGGGAGCACCTACCCTGGTGGCAGTGGTTGAGCCAGCCAGTGTGTGGGGCCAGCTTCCTGTGTCAGAGTGTCACTCCACAGAGGACCAAAACAGCCACGGTACAATTTTAAAATGAGCTGAATTTCCAGCAGAGGACATTCTTGTGACTTCACCGGCAGGTTCTTTGGCACCTTACAGAGCATATCCCCATTGCTCCCAGGACAGGGGGTACTTCACGTGGCGTGACTCTTCCAAGGCCTGGGGAGAATTTCACTTTTGTAGAAGACACACTGTTAATGGGAAGGCAAGAGGGCACAGCTTTTAAAAATTAAAGGACAACATGGTCCATGTTTCCAAGTAAAGCCAGCTCTCTGATCCAAGGACGCCACCTGGTGGCTGCCTCCAGCATTAAGCAAAGTTGATGGGGGTTCCTTTGGTTTATGTTCCATTGTGTTTCCTTTCATTAAGATGAGGTTGCTTTCTGTAGTCCATGCTGGCTTTGAACTTCTCGTCCAGATCTGACTAATGGAAATTGTTTGTTTGTTTGATTTTTGAGACAAGGTCTCACTATGTGGTCCCAGCCAGCCTTGAACTCACTATGTAGCACAGGAAGGCCTCAAACTCACAGCAATCCTCCCGCCTCAGCCTCAGGAGTGCTGAGATCACAGGCTTGCCCCACCATGCCGAGCTTGTTTGGTTGGTTTACTGAGACAGGATCTCACTCTGTAGTTCAGGTTGGCCTTGAACTCAGTATGTAGTGCAGGCTGGCTTTGAACTGGCAGGCTGTGGCTTCTCAAATGCTGGGATCACAGGTGTGCAGCATCAGGTAACCATGTCCAGTACTGGGCATTGAGCGTACTACACAAGTGTCCCACTACTTAACTACACCTCTGGCTTTATTTTTGTTTTATTTATCCCTTTTTATTTTGAAACAATCACAAAGCAAAGTTATAGAAAAGCTGTGCATATAGCACAAAAATATTTTCCTGCACTATCGGAGAGTAAATTTCTGAACTGACACCTTATGACCCCACTTGAGTGGGTATTTCTTATGAATAAGAACAGCCATTAGAAGCAGGCCATCTGCTTTGCTGTTTCTGCCATCCAACCTTCGACTGGGTTCTGCTTCATCCAGGTGTCTCAAAAATCCACTCAGCAAAGTGGCAGCTCAGAGTCGTGCTTTGTACCCACTCACCGTGCTTCTTGTCCCTCCGTCTTCCTTCGATTCTCGTGACCTCGAACTTTGTAAAGACTATAGGCCAGTTACCTCTAGGACACCTCTCCGTGTGAGTTTCTCTGAGGCTTCCTGGTGTTTCTGCTCACAGCATTGCCCAGTATCTTTGACATGGATCGTACAGAACAAACTGTGGTCCTCTCATTCCCGCAGGGGGTACATGATTCCATCTGTTCCACTACCGGGGATACTAGCTGTGATCACTGGATTAGAGCTTACTGGTTTTGGCTATGAAGTCATGCTTCTAAAGGAGATTCACTATTGCCGCTTTTTAAATATTGTGCTAAAGATCCCAGCCGAGCCAGGAGTGGTGGCCCACACCTGTAATACCTGCAGCCTGGAAGGCTGAGACAAGAGGATCACAGCCTGGGAAATTTAGCAATTTAGAGAGAGCCTGTCTCAAAATAAACATTTTTCAAAAAGACTGGGGATGCAGCTCAGTGTGAAGGCCCTGGGTTCAGTTCCCAGTGCTAGAAAAAATAAAGTATGTATGTATTACAATGTTCACAGGTACACTATTTATAGTAGTTCCAAAATGGAAATTATCCAAATGTTCATTAACAGCAGAACTGACACATTTTAAAATAGTCACACAATGAAACTCCACATAGCCACGAGAATAAACAAACTCTACCTATGAGGTATGATCCAAAAATACTGTGAACGTTTAATTTTTTAAAAAATTAAGACACATTGTAATTTAGCCCTTAAAAATCTTCCCCTCACTTACCACTTTCCAAAGCAGTTCTGGAAGTCCTCTTTCATGAGTGTCTTTAGTTGCACTGTGATGGCTGCCTGAGTGTCCTGGATCAGTTCAAAACACTTACCTTTCACGGTCATTTTGACTCTGGGGAAAAGTCACACAGTACCAGATCTGATGATTAAGGTGAATGAGCCTGATAAGGTGAATAATGTTTTATGAGCCTGATTTCCATTGGATGGAACTTAGCAGCCACCATAATTTTTAATCACATCTTGAAAAGACACTCAGGAAAGTAGACTTCCCAAACTGCTCTAGAAATGGTGAGAATAATAAAGTAGGTGTGTCCAAAGGAAAGTAGAGTATTTGGAAGGAGGGGCTCAATGGCATGTGTCTCTTGCTGTAATAAAGGTCTAAAAGTTAAACATTTGTCATATTTTTATCTCATATATAAAAGTTAGAAACTTATATTCATCTAATGCCATTATTGAGTGGAAAAGATGGCAGCAATGGTAGCACATGCCTATAATCCCAGCATTCAGGAGGCAGGAGGATTGCCACAAGTTTGAGACCAGCCAGACTACAAAGTGAGTTCAAGGCTAGTCTGAACTACATAGAGATCCTGGCTCAAAACAAATAAACAAATTGCTAGGGGTGGTAGTGCACACCTGTAATCCCAGCTGAGGAGGCTAAGGTAAGAAGATTGCTGTGAATTCAAGGCCAGCCTGGGCTACCTAGTGAGTTCAAGGCTATAGTGGGCTACTTAGTGAGCTCCGGTCTCAACAAACAAACAAACAAACAAACAAAGAAATAAAAAAAGGAAGGAGAGAGGGAAGGAAGGAAAGAAAATAGGAACAGGGAAAGCTGGGCATGGCGGTGCACATCGATAATCCCAGCCACTTGGGAGGCTGAGGCAGGAGGATCGCTGTGAGTTCCAGACCAACCTGGGTTACAGTGAGTTCCAGGTCAGTCTCAACTACATAGTGAGACCGTCTTAAAAAACCAAAAAAAAAAAAAAAAAAAAAAAAAAAAAGGGAACAGGGAGATAGATCTTGTACTGCAAACATATACCAATAAATTTTTTAAAATAAACTTTACAATTAAAAAAAAGACTGAAAAAGGAAGCCACAGAGTATATATGAAGAAATCTCACACACGAATAAGAAAAAGCAGATCAACAGAAATAAAAGGGGCAAGAAACTTTAATGGGCACTTCACAGAGAAATATATCAAAGCAGACAATGTACATACAAAATGATCCTCAGCCTTTATTAGTTATTAGAGAAAAGTCAATGAAAGCAACAGTGCAATACCTCATCACACCCAACAGAATCACTATACTTCTACACACTACATCAGAATCATTGAAATTATAAACACAAGACCTATGAGGCTGAGGTTGGAGCCACAAAAACTCATACAGTACCTCCCTGGAGCGTAGTTTACCATAACTGTGAAGCTACCTATTGGCGCTGCCATACTCCGTGTCCCAGCAATTTCACTTCAGAAGAAACTAAATTCACAGCAGCATTATCCACCACACCCCTAAATTGGAAACAAGACAGGCTGGAGGACATAATGAGATCCCATTTCAAAATAAAAGGCCACGTGCTGCGGGGGTGGCTCAGCGGTAGAGCGCTTGCCTAGCCGGAGGGAGGCCTTGGGTTTGATATTCCCAAATATACAAAGCAGTTTGAACAAGCCAACCATCGCTGCGTGCAACTTGGAAAGACACCCGACGCAATACAGGTTCAAAGAAACAGACAAACACGACCCTGGAATATTCTATTTATATCAAAAGCAAGCAAAAGGGACTGTGCTGTGGGGACCGCGGTTGCCTTCGGGAGCAGAGGGAAGTTTCAGGGCCCCGCGGCCCTTCCTCCTGGGGCAGGTCCCTAATGGCCGCCCAGGATTCTGCACGGGTATTTCAATGTCCAACTGCAATGCTGCTGTGTCTGGCGGCGGGGTGGTGCCGGAAGCCTGCGCGGGGCGAGGGACCCGGTCGGGTTCCCACGGTGCAGACCCGGCCAGCCTCGGCTCCCGGACCTTTCGCGGGGTCCTCGCTCCTCCTGGCGGAAAGAGGAGGTCACAGCTGCTACCAACTCGGGGTTCTCTGATACATGAGAAATCTACACTCAGGTGTTTCCACCTTCTGCTTAACTTTTGGACACCAACATCTGGAATTAAGGTCTTCCAGACCCTGCCTCATCAAAGCACCCAAAAAGCAGACAAATCGGAGAAAGGCGCCAGTCATTAACATTGAACGAAGGCGGGACGAGGGTGTTCGATTGCTTCCGCCTGGCAGTCGAGTTGCGCACGTACGCGAGGCAGCAGCGATTGGTTTTCCACCTTCTGCTTAACTTTTGGACACCAACATCTGGAATTAAGGTCTTCCAGACCCTGCCTCATCAAAGCACCCAAAAAGCAGACAAATCGGAGAAAGGCGCCAGTCATTAACATTGAACGAAGGCGGGACGAGGGTGTTCGATTGCTTCCGCCTGGCAGTCGAGTTGCGCACGTACGCGAGGCAGCAGCGATTGGTGTTCT